TCAGCTGAGCCCTCTGGCATCAGCTGTCGACCTACGGGCCTGCAAACATGCCATCTCCAGGAAGGGCACTTGGTGTCCCTCACGGCTCCAGCCTGCAGAATCCCATATGTCCTTTTCCTGTTTTACACCACTAAGACAAGGAAATACACGCCAGAGGCTCCACAAGGGTAGTGCTCATCTGACTTTCTAGCTGCATTTAACATGTGTACTTTAAACATTTCAGTTATAAAACTTTTTTAAAATCTATCAGGATAAAAATTACCTTATAAAAGTAAATCTCTCCCATTCCCACATCGAAATTTTCCATTCCTATGTTTCTAATTAAAAAACTTAGCTGGGCTCGGTGACTCATTCTGTAATCCTTTGGGAGGCTGAGGTGAGTGGATTGCCTGAGTCCGCAGGTTCGAGACCTGCCTGGGCAGCGAGACCTCATCTCTACAATAAATCAAAAAAAAAAATCTACCAGGCATGGTGGCACATGCCTGTAATTCCGGCTACCTGGAAGGCTGAGGCGGAAGGATCACAGAGCCCAGCAGGTCGAGGCTGCGGTGACCGGGAGCGGCCACTGCACTCCAGTCTGGGCGACAAAGTGAGACTCCAACTCAAAAAAAAAAACAAAAAAAACTTAAAATGTACCTTGACATGCAATATTTCAACAGTATTTTAACACACAGACTATAATAATAAGTCAGCGGGTGTGTTATTTTTGTCCTATTCCTTTATCATTTTCATCCTTGTAATTAGCACCCAAATTAATGATTCCATTCAGGATTATTTGAAATCTCTGTGCAAAAATAAAAAAGATCAAAGTAGTTCAGAGCTTTCGAGATCCAACTTCATTCTTTTTGCAGTTAAAGCTCAGTTTCAAATAAGGCATCACTAGAATAGAGGGAAAAACGTCAGGGTGGCACGGGGGGAGAAACATTAAAGAACAGAAAATTAAGCAAAATCGAAATTCTGTCACGCCGATGCTTCCCATTTCTCTTGGAATTTTCCCTGAACAGACCGGGGGCAGCACGGACTCCTGCTCACACCTGTTGAGGTTCAACTGCCGCACCAGGCACCTCCTGAGCGCTCCCATGCATTCCCTGGGAGTTACCACATGGCTCATGCACTGGATTTGGGACCTCGGCCCCAGCACCTGGCTGGAGGCCCAGACTGCTGGACAGGTCCTCAAAAGGATGGAGGTCATGTCTCCATGCACAACTCACCCATCGCAACACAGAGGACGACGACTCATGAAGAACATTTGCAAGGGTCACAGGGCCCCCACGTGTCATCAGCTTCCAGGCCCAACGCAGGTTCCCAAAAAAAGCACAGCAGCCCTCTGTCACTTTTACAGTAAATGACAAACTACCAACAGTCCACTGCAAGAAAGTAATCCTTATCATCAGAATCATCTCACGAACTCATCTAACACCAGGACACATTTTTAAAGTTCATATGTACCATAGGTACATTTAACAGCAAATTTGACTTCGACCTCTGCTACTGTTTAAAAGCTAAGTCAGACTATGTAAAGCTTACCTTGTATTTCTTTGTTCCCACTTCACCTACTTTAAAAAAGTTTTTTTACATCAACTAGACAGCGATGTGGTCATAAGACCATCTGAAGCACAGACAGCTCTGAGTCACCCAGCTCAGCTGGAAGTTACAGTGCTCCAGGGCTGGTCTGCCCAGGTTTCTGCCACAGCCCTTTTGGGCTCCACAGCTCTGTCAGCCTCGCTAAAGCTGCAACCCTCCTTTCCTTTCTAGAAGGAGAACACGGTTCTGAGCTTGCTCTACTACCACCACGTGGGGGCTCACCATCACCATGGCCTGCGTCCTGTCCAGCAGGCTCCCTCCCTCTGCTCCCTCCACTACTCAGATGCAGCCTTTCCAGCTGTCTCTTCCTTCACGCCTCTCAAATGTTGTTCTTAGTCTATTCCAAATTTTGTAGTTTTGTCAATAAGCATTGAGAAAATGCTTCATTCAGACTTTAAAGTTTAAACAAAACTATTTTTGTATCAAAATAGTGTTTAAAGTATCACCTAATGAACTAAAGAAACCAGATGAAAACATTAGTTTTTGGGTGGTGAATTAAGCTTTGGTTCCAGGTTTGGTCCTTTAAATATCAGCAATCAGAAAGCTGAACAATGCGCAGTCAGGCACTGTGGTTCATGCCTGTAATCTCAACACTTTAGGAGGCTGAGGCGGGAGGATCATTTGAGCCCAGGTTCGAGACCAGTGTGGGCAACACAGTGAGACCCCCATCTCTACAAAAGTTAGCTGGGTGTGGTGGCACGTGCCTGTAGTCCCAGCTATTTGGAAGGCTGAGATGGAAGGATCACCTGAGATTAGGAGGTAGAGGCTGCGATGAGCCGTGTTCGTGCCACTGCACTCTAGCCTAGGCAACAGAATGAGGCCCCAACTCAAACAAAAAAGCTTAACAAATATAGCAACCTCTATTGAAACTTTAACTGTTTTTACAAATGGCTACTAAAAGCAGAATCTCTTGCTTTATGGGGTGGGGCAAGTACAATCCAGAATATAATTCAAGAATTTGCTAACTGCATGTGTAAAGTTTCAGAATTGTTTATATCCATATATGGACAGAAATATCAGGTAAAAATCCTGTTACTCCATCCTTCTAAGGGACTGTCCAAATCATCTGACTGGACTGAAGTTTTTTGCTGTGCTGGCATTGGCTAATTGTATGTCTTAAACATGTCATCGTGATGTCACAGGGTATTAGACTTCTATAATAGTCAGCATAGATCTGACTTGGGAGAAGGACAAGAGGAATTAAAAACAAATGACTTGGCCAGGTGCAGTGACTCACACACATAATCCCAGCACTTTGGAAGACAGAGGCGAGAGGGCTGCTTGAGGCCAGGAGTTTAAGACTAGCCTGGGTAACATAGCATGAGCCTGGCTCTACAGAAATAAAAATAAGTAGCCTTGCATGGTAGTACATACCTGTTGTCCTAGCTACCTGGGAGGCTGAGGCAGGAGGATAGTGTGAGCCCAGGAATTCAATTTGAGGCTGCAGTGAGTTATGATTGTGCTACTACACTTTAGCCTGGGTGACAGAGCAAGACTCTGTCTCTATAAAAAAAATTTTTTTTTCAAACTACTTACCAAGATACTGTGATTTTACTAATATTATTTGTAAGACTGAACAGAAAGGGCAAATATTGGCTAAAAACAAGCAAAAAAACTCAAATGCAAGTATTAGTTAACATTTCTGAAATTCTACATCTAAGTTCTAAAATGATGTCAAAGTTCAGGATACTCTTAAATTTAATCATAATGTCAATCACCCAAAGACAGTAATTCAGATTTTTCTACTGAGAAACTGCTTTGTTGTGATCATGGAAAAGTCTTTCCCACGGCAACAAATGAGAGAGTTTTACCAAGAGAAAAGCAACACTGGCAGTTTATGGAGCCAACAAAAAAGCTAAGTTACATGTATCTATATGTACATATAGATAATAATCAAATATACACACGTCTTAAATATACATATTAAACATGTACATATTTAGAATGTTTTAAAGCACCTCACTCCAGTGGATGCCCTACATGTAGGGTTTGCTTCACATTGATATTTAAAATTTTTTAGAATGCAGGAACAGGTTAAAAAATGATTTTGCACTTTAAAAATTTTACTTGGTTTCTTTTAAAAGACAAATAAATGTTTCGTAATTTAGTCCCTATTCCTAACGCTGAAGAACCTGTTTTATTTTTTCTTTCGCCCCATGACAAGCAATAAGCTTTCAATGTTGCACATTTTTGCTATTTCTCAGTTCACGACCTGTGACTAGCTGTCTCAAACAGTGCACCCACAGACCTGGATGGCTACACACGTGACACTTCTAAATCCTCACATAATAGCTTTATGCGACTTAAGAGTTAAAGCTGTCCCTGTCATCAGTATTCACTGCACATCAACAGGGGGCACGGCAGTGAGCATCAGCTCTGCTTCTGCTAAAGCATCTACAAGTTAATTATTGATGTCTTTCCGGAAGCTCTCTAACGTTCTGTGTATGCTTTTCCATTGGTTCCAGTAACTTTTTCTTGCAGAGTAAAGACTGAACAGCTTCTGTTTGAGAGACTGCCCATCTCCAGAAGATTCGTGCTAAAATGCCAGGGGTGGAACAAAACAAACCATTCACTGCTAAGAAAACCACTTCTTTAGAGGACCTGTCAATAATTTCTTTTTGCAATCTGTCTTTGAGAGTTTGTCTCGAGTTGACTTAAAGTATCATTGGAAATTGCTGACTGGCAAGATTGTCAATGACTGTCAAATATACCAGTTTAGGATAGATTCCATGGAAACACACTAGGATAACTGAAAGCTAAAACAGAGCTTAATGGCAGAAAAAAATCTCAGAAACAAAGACAGAGATCATAGAAGACAAGGGAGGATTCCTATTGTTTTTTCTCATTTTGAAGAGTTCTTTGCTTACTTACTTCCCCTAGACAAAAAAAAAAAAAAGATGATTGAAAATGGCAAACATCTTACAAAGGATGTTCTGTGTAACATCAGGCTAGCTGTCAGGATGTTACCAAACTGCCTAGCCATTAGACTCCTGGTAAGACTGTGCCCATAGTACTCTCCCTTAAGGAAACGGTGCCCATGGTTCCCCACCTTAAGCATTCCTACTAAAAGCCAAAGATCCTACAGCCATCTGGGGAGCAAAGACTGGGGACAGAGAAGCAAAGTAAGAGCAGCCTGCCTAGGATAACCTTGTGATCCAGAAGCCTCCTGATCTACTGCACAAGAGCAGGTCAACATTCCTTCCTTGCCCCCTCCTACCACCCCCCCACACCCCAGTCACGTAAAGAAGATCGCAGCTCTTCTAGTGCAAATCCCAACCATATTATCCCTTTACTTCTTGGAGAGGGAAGAGTCCAATTGCACAGCCCCCAACACAGGATGGTAATTATGTTTTGGAGCTACTTTACAGTTCAACCCAATGCACATTTATTGCCTTCCAAGAATATTTCTTATCTGCAAGAAAGCTTGAAACCACAAAATCTTCTTCTTTCTGATTCTATCTGGCTGTAAACTCTGCTGCAGTTGGGTATACACACAGACCATTAGCTTCAAAGGAAGAATAACAGCCATCCAATAGGCTAAAATATCGAGTTAACAACCTATTGGCTAGATATTCTTCTTCTTTCTGCCTACTCCTATCGATCACTGGGAAGATACAGACCATTGGGCACACATACTCCTTTCTGATTTGGTGATGCTCCTGCAAAAGCCACTGCTTCATACACACTATAGAAGAGAAGGTTTTCTTCTTCCTTCTTGCAGTATTCTCCCTGGGCCAGGGAATCCCTCACAGAGGGGTTGCACTGAGCCAGCAGGACCTGGATTCCAATGGCTTCGTAATCGCGGCGCACCTCTTTCAGCGTGTGGATCCCTGCTGTGTCTAAGAACTGCACGGCGCTGCAGTCGATCACGACGGTGTGCAGCTCCAAGGGGTCATGGGAGAGCTGCACGGACACCTCATCTTGGACGCCACCAAGAGTCACCATTTGCTCCTTGATCTTTCTCTTTGCTGCCTTCTTCTGAGCTGCCTTTACTAAGATAGGGTTGACGGTTTTTTTGTATAGAGCAGATTTAAAGCATTCTTTGTTTACGTAGTACAAAGGGGCTACGAAACGGAAAACCTTGATGCCTGGCTTCGTCTGAAGGTTCCTGTAAGCAGACATAGATTCGAAGAGTTCAGACTCTTCCACCGAGCCAAGCAGTGAACTCTTTGGCTTCTGAGTGCGGAGGATGACACAAAACATAGAAAAACAGACCCCAATAAGCAGGCCTATTTCAGTGCTTATCAGTGCAGAGGACAGCATGGTCACAAACCAGATAACGGTGTCCATTCTGCTAACCCTCCACATCTTGGGCAGATCCCGAAATTTAAGAAGGGCTCCCCGGAGGTTTACAATCGTAATCACACCAAGAACACTTTTCTGAAGGGAAAAGAATAAAGGAGCTATGACCAGGAGGACCAACAGAAGAACCAGGGCTGTCACCACACCGGAAAGCTGAGTTTGGCAACCTGTTGACTCCTTAACCAGGGTCTTTGCAAGAGCTGCACTAGTCGTGAAACAGTGGAAGAAGGCCGGGATGATGTTGCAGAAGCCAATGGCGTACATCTCCTGGTTTGCTCTGACTGTGTAACCGTGCTTCTTGGCAAACATCTCAGAAAGTGACACAGTGATGGCAAAACCAATGATGGAAATAGCTATCGCATCTACAGCCACACTAGGAATGAGGTTCCAGTCTGGTGCTTTAGGAGGCATAAACCCAGTGGGAATATGTCCAGCAATACTGGAATTGTAATTCTCATTGAGTTTTCCAAAATGAGAGGCCAATGTGGCCGCCACAACAACAATGAGCTCAGTAGGAATCGGGGCCTTGAGCTTGGACTTGAAGTGCTCGTTGAGTTCTTTGGTTGGCAAAAGAACCAGAAGGCACAACAGGCTGGTGATGAGATCACAGAAGTTGGTCTTGTGGATGTTTCTGAAGATATGGATCCAGGTGGTGATGAGTGAGCCCACGCCACTGCTCCGGGGCAGGTTGAGCCCCAGGAGATACTTGGCCTGAGATGTGAGAATAGTGAAGGAGGCACCAGTGACAAATCCGCTCAGCAAGGCATCTGAGAGGTAGACAGAGACAAAGCCCACTTGGAAGAAGCCCATTGCGACCTGGAAGGAAGGACACACAAGCGTTGATGTAAATGGAAAAGAACGTTTCAATTCTGTGTTATCCTGACCCCTCTTGCATGGAGACATACCAGCAGAGCCTCCCAGAACGTCAGAGCTAGGATAAGCACAGTCGCACATCACTCTTCCCGTCTTCCAGAGAGATGCTTGCAGGGCTAAGCAGCTACAAGGGGCCATGGGAGAGCTGCATGGTCACACTGCCACTCACTAACCCAGGCAAGATAGGAACTTGGAATTTCTACCTTCTGTTTCTTACACTTCAGACCTCTTTTATAAAGAAAATAACTCTCAAGAATCTATGAAAAAACTTCAAATAGAAAACATTCTTCTGGTTAAGAAACCATGCCTTTTCTTTAAATCACAAATCATTACTGCAAAGCTGAAATGTTAACTAGTAGAACAAAAATTAAACTCACATCAAAAGAAAATCACACTTTAAAAATTATTATTTTTTCCCAGCTACTTGGAAAGCTGAGGTGGGAAGATCGCCTGAACCCAGGAGCTGGAGGCTGTGGTGAGCTATGATCATGCCACTGCACTCCAGCCTGGGTGACAGACAGAGTAAGACCCCGTTTCAAAAAAATTGTTGAATTCTCTCTAATCTACCCTCATAGTAAGAATCTCTTCTCACCCAGTGTACTTGTGTACTGCCACTGCCTCCCACATTGATCATATTAATAATTCCACATCCTCAAAAATACAACTTTTGTGTTTATTTTCTCCCCAACAATTTCTCAGAATTCTGTACACCTGCTCCTTCTGGGTGAGGCATGCTAGCAAAACACGACAGGGCTCCAAGACACAGAGCATCGCACACCACCTTCGTTCCCTCCCACCCTAGCAGAGCACCCAACAAAGCGATTCCTCCTTTCCTGTGTCACTTCCAAATCTGGTAAGAGAGAAGGCATCTGATGCTGGCACTGACCCCTGGATGCCAACAGGCAGGGGCATGGTGACAATGGCAGATTCATGGATTCTATGGGAGACCTAGGAAGAATTTCATTTCTAATCCTACCTTCTGGCCAATAATGTGAAACTGTAACCCTCAACCTTTTCCTTCCCTCCCCAGCAATCCAAGAGAACTACTATCTCTAGTAAGAGCCACTCGCTGCAGAAGTGATTCTGGAGGAAAGCAGGGGGCATTTAGAATTAGAAAAGCTCCTGCAATCCTCCTCTCACACTCCTGTTCTGTTACCCTCTTGCCTGACTGCCAATTCTGACTCTGCCAATAACTAACCACAAATAACCTCAAGCAAAGTCAAGGTTTTCTGACATGTAAAATCAGGGAATTGTACTAGGTGCTCTGAGGTCTAGAGACCCAGGCTTATCTTACTTGTGGAGTCAGACCAGGGTTTGAGTTCTGGCTCTCCCCTTCATATATCCTGAGCACTTGATAAATGATGTAATTATTGTGACCCTCGAGATCCCTCACAGATACAATATATAATGACTACTCTTCCAGAATTAACCAACTGTTCCACTGCTTCTTACCTGGTAAACCCCAGCCATAAATGTTACAGTGCTGCCAACCTTAATAGCATAGTAGCTCTTGTCGCATATCCTGCCCGATGTCAGATTGAGTAATGTGCTCCCATTTGAAATCATTTCTGAAGGAGAAACATAGTCCGCATCACAGTTAGCTCTGTGTAGTTCTCGGTCAACGACCTCACCAATCATAAGGCACAGTACTCCAAAAATGCCCACTGAGATGTGACGGGAGGTACCCACAAGGAAATAAATGATGCTGGCAAAAAAAGACGTGTACAGCCCATAGATGGGCTCCTGACCAGCCAGCAGGGAGTAGGCAATGGACTGGGGCACCAGCAAGATGCCCACGATCAAGCCAGACATCACATCTCCTAAGATGTTTTTCTTGAGGTCGTATTTTGGGAGCCACTGCAACACAGGAAGGAAACCAAAGACCGCATTTTTGGCTTTGGTTGCACTGCACTGGCATTTCTTCTGCAACTTTTTGACAACAAACTGCTTGAAGGTAGTATTTGGTTTCTCCTGACGCTCCATGTGGATCCGAGGATAGGGTCTGCACTGGTCACTGGTCTCAAATGTCTTGAGGTCAGTACTTGACTCCTTCTCAAGCTCCAGGTGGGTCCCAGTCAGAGAACTGCCGTGTCCTTCAGCTGAAGCCTCGGGTGAAAGGTCATGCTGCTCTTTACTTTCCGAAGACATTTCTGGATAGGCAGTTCTGCTTCCTATCCCAGAGAAGACAGCAGTGTTAACTGATCAAGTAATTCTCAGCGCTCCCATATGCTAACAACCCCACTTGTCCCTCATGAGACTCAGGAGTATAGTTTGGGGGCAGGTATCCTGTGCCTGCTTTCTTTCACTGAGCCCCTCTGTCATGGTGGGGAAAAGAAAGGCCAGAACCAGACCTCACACAGCAGTCAGAGCGAATGACTGGCTGGGGCAGGGCTTCTTGAAGGACAAACTGGAGGAACCTTCTCCACAGGTGCCCACTCCCCTGCAGCGTTTCCTCCAGAAAAGGCCTCCAGGCACCTGTGTCCTTCCCAGATCTGCCATGGCCTTCCTCCTGGGCTGTCACCTCCCAGGCACATTGAGAAATGGTAACTAATCTCCAGTCCCTACCTCTACCTACCCTGAAACAAGGAAGACGGTCCTTTGGTTTATTATTTTTTGGTCCCTTTTAAAATTAATCACTAAGCCAGGCTCGGTGGCTCAGCCTGTAATCCCGCACCTTGGGAGGCTGAGGTGAGTGGACTGCCTGAGCCCGCGGGTTCGAGACCTGCCTAGGCAACTTGGTGAGACCTCATCTCAACAATAAATAAAAAAATAGGCCGGGTGTGGTAACATGCACCTGTAGTTCCAGCTGCTTGGAAGGTTGAGGCGGAAGGATCGCCAGAGCCCAGCAGGTCGAGGCTGCGGTGGCCAGGAGTGGCCACTGCACTCCAGTCTGGGAGACAGTGAGACTCCAACTCAATAAATAAATCAATAAATCAATCAATCAATAAATAAATAAATAAATAAAATTAATCACTAAATGTTGAAAGTAAGTAGAAGAAAAAGCAGGTGACAGAGGAAAGATAAATGTTTTTGGCAGTAAAAAGAACCAAGGCAGGATGCATCTGAGTCTGTCAACAGCACCCCCTTGCCTGATAGCAGAGGAAAGAAGCTGATGAGAGAGTGTGACGCTGGGCAAATCCACACGGAGTATTGGGGGTCGGCTGTGGAGGCCCACCTGAGCGTTAGGGATCCAGGCAGGCTGTGGACCCTGAGACCACTAGGATGAGTTCAGGAGCTGAAGGCCCATTCCCTCTACCCTTCTTTGCTGTTTGGCATGTTCTACTAGCAGGGACTTTGATGATCTAAGCATGAAGTTCTGAGAGAACAACAGGCATGGCTTACTTTAGGATTCCATTGTTCCTGTTTCTCACAGACTGTGGTTTTGGCTTTAAACTTAACATAATTCAAACTCAGGTCACATTTGGGAGCCTTATATATGATACAAGCTTCTTTATAAGATTTAAAAGTATATTTGTAGAATTAGTATATACATGTAAAGTGCTGTTTCAACTTTAATAATATAGATAATTATTTAGGGTTACCAGAAATGGCCCAGTACGAACTTTGGGCTGGGTCACATTCCTGAGGGCCCAGTGCAATACTTTGGACTGGACTGCATTCTTTAGGAATTGGTTTGGGCTATAATTAAGAGTTTCTATAGTGCAGGTAGAATGAGTGTAAAATAGAGAGGAATTGGGATTTAGGATTGGTCATTAGGTGTCGTGTATGCATAAGCTTTAAAAGTTATTGATTATTAGAATATTATGATATTAGAATTGTATTGCTTTTGAGGAATATTAACCAAGCATGAGGAACAGTGAAATAGTTTTGGGATCCTCCTTCCTCATGCTTGGGAAACACCTGGTGGGTGGGGGATGCCCCTCATCCACCTGGCTCTATGTTCATGTAAAAGTTTTGTGATTTAATTGGGATTTTTCTTCCTCATGCCTGAGGAAACACCTGGTAGGTGGGGGACACCCCTCCTGCACCTGGCTTTGTGTTCACGTGAAAGACTTGTGAGACTGTGTAAAATTTGGGGATAAATACCCACTGTAAGTTCCAATAAATGGCTTCTGCTCAATCCATTGAACAGTTGTCCACTTTCTTTCTTTCTCTTTCTTTCTCTTTATATCTATCCCTTCATCTTTCTTTCGTTTAATATTTATCCCTCCTACAGAATCGGCTTCTGCACTAGACAGAGTTTAGTCTCTTTCTCCCCGTTTCTCTCTTTCTTTCTCCAGAATAATCGCCAACACCATCACACCTACCCAGGGACTCCCTAAATCTCTCTGCTAGGGCTGGCCCCCCGCAACAGAGGGTGCGAGAGGGCTGACAGAGCAGCATGTCATCCACACTGGAGAGCGCTTGGGTCTATGCCACTGTGTGCTAGTATGGAGTTGCCTGCTCTGTAGGCACCACATTCACGCAATGAAAGACTCGCCCTACCTTTCTAAGCGCACACTCTGAAACACAGGCTGAAGGGAGAAATAGTGTCACTTTGCACTCTCACCTCTTGGGTGTACAGGTGACCCTACATCTCTGGATCCCTAACCACAGCACTATCGCTGTAAGATCTACTACTAAGAAATCTAGGAAAATAAGGGAAGGCTGGGTGTGATGGCTCACACCTATAATCCCAGCACTTTGGGAGGCCGAGGCAGGAAGATTGCTTGAGCCCAGGAATTCGAGACCAGCCTGGATATCACAGTGAGATCTCATCTCTACAAAATCGCAAAAACTTAACCAGGCATGGTGGTATATGCTTGTAGCCCCAGCTACTCAGTGAGCCATGACTGTGTCACTGCACACAGCGTGGGCGACAGAGCAAAACCCCAACTCAAAAAAAAAAAAGAAAAGAAAAGAAAAGAAAGGAGGTAAAAACCAAAAAGAAGGAGCAACAAAAAAAAAAGTAACCGGAGCAAAAGAAGGGAAGAAAGAACCAGGGTCTCAGAGGCACAGTGTGTGAACCGTTTACCAATTACTTCACAAATTAGTGCCTTTGCAGCCACTGTGACTTAGCTTAGAATGACCATCCACCTCATGACCTATCAAGATCCTAAAAGTTTTTTAAAACCCAGTTGCAATACTCCTTATCCACAAAGCACTACCCTGGCCCAAATGAACCACGACACCCTGTGTCCTGCAGCATTCTGCAACTCCATTATGGTACTGACCACACTCGTGTGCTGGTTAAGGAGTCTCTCCAGCTCCTTGAGGAGAGAATTTCTTGTCGTCAGTGTAATCATCACTGTATGTGACATAATAATTCTGAGATAACAGGCTTACAAACCATTTGAATGAATGAAAGAACAAATGAACAAATTTACGATTGTAGCCAGACACACTAAATTTTAGATGAAGGACTCAGGAAGATTCCCATTTTGGAACTGACAGAAAAAGGTGCCTTTATGAAGGTCTATAAACCTAACGTTACAGCCAGGCATGGTGGCATGCACTTGTAGTCCCAGCTACTCAGGAGGCTGAAGCAGGAGGATCATCTGAGCCCAAGAGTTTGAGGCTGCAGGAGCCCAGGAGTTCGAGACCAGACCTCACCACAGTGAGATTAACACACCACTGCACTGCAGCCTGAGTAACAGAGCGAGACCTTATCTCAAAAACAAAAACAAACAAAAACCCCCTAACATTACAAAGGTGCCACAGCCCAGGACCCATGGCCTATTCAAGAATACAAGATATGTAAAAGTAACCCACATGTATTTTGTTTAGGTTGAACAAGAGTAAAGTAACAGTTTTTATTTGAGACAGGATCTCACTGTTGCTCAGGCTGGAGTGCACTAGCACAATGGTGTGGTCAGTTCACCACAGCCTCAAGCTCCTGGGCTCAAGTGATCCTACCACTTTAGCTCCCCAAGCAGCTGGGACTACAGGTATACACCACCAGACATGACTGATTTTTTTTTTTTGTAGAGACGAGTTCTCACTATGTTGCCCAAACTGATCTCGAACTCTTGGCCTCAAGCAACCCTCCCACTCTGGCCTAACAAAGTGCTGGAATGACAGGCATGAGCCACTGCACCTGGCATAAATTATTTCAATGGTCTTCTGAAGTAGAAAAGAAGAAAATGAATAAATTTAAATGACTGCTGACCCTGAAAAAGTCCGTCAGATGGTGGATACAACCCACAAGTCTTCGTTTCTTATATCAGCCAGTTTGTAACTCTCTTCTTATTTCCTGCTTTCTTGAGGTAGCTTGAGTGCACTTGTGTCCTATCTTGGAGCAGCTCTTGATGATTTCTGGGTCAAAGGGCTTTTCCAAACCTAAGATATGCAAAAAACGTATAAGAAAAAAAAAAGTGCCGGGTTTGGTGGCTCAGTCTGTAATCCCACGCCTTTGGGAGGCTGAGGTGAGTGGATTGCCTGAGCCCGTGGGTTCGAGACCCGCCTGGGCAGCGAGACCTCATCTCTACAATAAATCAAAAAATCAGCCGGGCATGGTAGCGCATGCCTGTAATTCCGGCTACTTGGAAGGCTGAGATGGACGGATCACCGGAGCCCAGCAGGTCGAGGCTGCGGTGGCCGGAGCGGCCACTGCACTACAGTTTGGGTTACAGAGTGAGACTCCAACTCAAAAAAAAAAAAAAAAAGAAAAGAAAAAAGAAAAAAAAAGTAATCAAATTCAAATCTTGCCCTGTATGGCTGGTATCTGGGAAGGAAAAAACATAAAAACTAATAGTAGAAAACCACAATAGAGATGGAAACAGTAGGAAAGAATCAAACAGAAATACTATAAGTGAAAAGCACAGTAAGAGAGATGAAGAATACCTTTGACGGGATCATCAGTGAACTTGACAGAGCTAAAGACAGAATCTATGAACTCAAAAGATAGGTCAACAGAAATGACCTAAATTGAAACACAAACACAGAAACTAAGTAACAAAACAAAAACCCCAGTACCAGCAATGAAACAGGACACCCAAGAGCTGTGGGACACATCCAAATATCAAACATATATATGATTAGGATCCCAAAAGGAGAAGAAAGGAAATGAGCAGAAGAAATATTTGAAGATATAATGAACAAGAATTTTCCAATTTTTAAAAAATATTTTTGTTTGTTTTTATCTTTTTATTTAGAAACAGGGTCTTGCTATGTTACCTAGGCTGGTCTTGTGCTCAAGTGATCCTCTCACCTTTCTCTCCCAAAGTGTTA